GGTAGGTAACTCGGCCTCTTCTCACTCAGACAGTAAGACAGCTGGATACTTCTTGCAGAGCCAAAACTCTAATTTGGAATCCAATGTGGTGGAAATCTTAGTAAATAATTAAAGGCCATGCTTACAGCTTAAAAATGAAGCCTTAAGCAGCACCAAGTTGTGAAGTGATTAATTTTACCCTCATCAAACCTCCAGGAGGTTCTGGAATGAGTCTTTCCTGACAGGTCGTCTTTTCCAGGAACTTGGGGCCTGCAAGCTCCACCAGCATTATGCACCCCTCAGCAGGATGTCCCTGCTCTTCTTGGAGTTTGTTTTAATTCCCAAAGGTACCAAGTAGCTGGAATATGGGGGCCTTGGGGCTGGGGAGGCACACACAAAGAGGAACCCTGGAAATGCCGCCCCTGACATGGGTCATGATCTTTGTTGGGATGGATGGTCCTCCCTCCCACCCCACCCAAGGTGGGCTCTTATCCCTGGCTATTGATTTCTGTTGTCCTGAGCCACAGGCGACTGGGGCTCCCACCCTTCTGCTGGACCACAGCTGCCTCTGGCCACAGCCTGGGGCAGACTAATGGCCTCCTTATCTGGGAGCCCTGCCCCTGCTGCCTGCCAGGCCTGGTTCTCACCACTTATACTGTTGACACCTGTTTTCAGAATATGTTTGAATTATTCAGTGCTAAGAATCATCATCTTTTCCTGTATAAATGTTCAGAAAAGGAAAGCACAGTCTAAACAATTGAAGGCTCTCTACCATCTAGCCAGAGCAAAACAGTTTCTCCAGCCTCAGCTTGTAGGATGTACGGGGTCCATGTGTTTCCATACCCTGCTGCTGTGGTAAGACAGGCTGATGGAGAACATTTCTGAGTAGTTTCCTTTTTGTTTTCCTTCATAATTTACTAAAATAAAGCATCTATTAGTGTCTGATCTAAGAATGTAAAATGATTCTGTATCAATGTAAATAAGATTATCTACTGCAAAAAGATATTTAAAACCTATGTTGTGGTCACTTCTTTGAAAGACTTCAAGCATCTTTCTACAGGTGGCTTAGCAGGGCCTTATGGTGTTCCTCTGCAGATCGGGCCACCCTGTGTCACTGCTGGCCTTCCCGGGGCTGGTTGGAAAGGTGGCTGGCCTTGTCCTTGGAGTCACACCCACCCAAGATCACACACTCACTGATGGATGGGTGGTGCTCTGACAGGCACTGATGCTTTCCAGCCCAGATCTCAGAGCAAGAAGCTTGCCATGAGATGATGTGCTGATTTCAGTGAATGTTCTAGAAGTTGGTCTGTAGCTTCTTCTTGGAAGCATGTGCCGTGAGATGTGCAATGCAGCCTCCTTATGTCTCATGCAGATCACTGTCTCCCTCGACTAGATTTTTTTTCCCCCCTCCATTACTTTCAGAGGAATATTAACATTTTTTTGTGTTAAAATTTTTGCTCATTGTAATTTCACTAGTCTGGCCTCCTGGAAGAGACTGTCTCACAAAAGCCCTGATGCTGGCATGGGTGGCCTGGGCCCCGAGCACATCGTCCGGGTTCTGAGCCAAGCAGCTTGAAGTGTAAGCGCGCTCGCTGGGTTAGGTGAAGAGGCTAGGAAAGACCCGATGGGCAAAAAAAGGGGCTCAGCAGTGACCTGCCAGTTTCAGATACTTCTTCCTTTAGCAGACTTTTATTGAGTGTCTGCTATGGACTCTCAGTGTGGATGTAGCACGATCCTAGACCCGGGAATAGCAGCAGAGAGGTAGGCAGGAGTCTCTCGTGACAGCTGAGTTTTCTTCCTGGAAAAGTCAGCTGAGTCCTACTCATGTCCTATCTTTTGAAAATAGAAGTCTAGAGGAAATCTTTGAAAGAGAAATGTGGGTTTTCTTGCCAGCGAGACACCATTATTGCTGTACTAAGGCGTCCTTCCCTTGGTGTTGGAAGGTAGCAGTGCAAATCTGTAGTGACAAGTCCCACTCAAGGCTTGGTTTGGGCTTATTCCCACAGCTGGCTCCTGAGGCATTTGTCACCAAACAGCTTTGCAGACTCTGAGTTGGGGCTAGAGCATGAGATGAGGCATTTAAAAATACAAAAAAGTATCTCTAGGCCCCTCCAGGAGAGGAGAAAGGTAGACAGGTGTTTAACATTTGCTGATATGTTAGAAGGATGAATGAAGGGAGACACAGTCACGTAGGAGGAGGCAGACTTGGGCTGTGGACCTTGACTCCAACCCCACCTGCGGGCTTCTGCTAATTTGTTTTCCCACCTGAGCCATCCTCCCCCTCAGACCTTTGGGTTCTGGTGGACTTGAATGTTTCCTTCCCTGTCATGATACGCTTCCTCGGTGTGCAAAAATCTCTTGTCCTACCAGCCTCTTGGCTGCCTCTGCCTCCCGGGACTGTCCCTGCCCTTCCCTCTGTTCTGTAACAGCGGAGCCTGTCACTGAATACTGAATTATATGAGCAGTCATGGCTTTTGCGGAAAGCATGTTTTAGCACTCTTGTTTGTTAATAAACACTGAAACCTGCACATTATACCTTTTAACCAAAAGTTCTGCTTATTTGGCACAATGCTTACGAAGGGTCACATATGCCAGTCAGCAACTTTACATAAAGAAACAAAGTAACCCTGACCTGCCATCTCAATGCTCAGGAGTGGCAGAGATTGACTGCCTTGTTTAAAGGGGACAGCCACTCTTTCGCTCCACCCAAGGCAGGGCTAGAGTCTCTGCAGGGATTCAGGCCCAGTGCCGCCTGATCCGGTGCTTTCCGGGGGAAGATAGGCATCCAGGTTTTTATGTGGAGATTTTAGTTACCTCACTTTTGGGGTAACAGCTTTATTGAGATACAATTTACATACTGTTCGAGTCACTCATAAAAAGTGTACACTTTTATGATTTTCAGTTCGAGGTTGTGCAGCCACCAGTCAATTTTAGAACATTTTCATTACCTCAGAAAGAAACTCCATATCCATTAGCAGTTACTCTCCATTTCCTCCCAAGTCCCTAGTCTCTGTCAACCACAGATCTTCCTGTCTCTATGGATTTGCCCATTCAGTGCATTTCACGTAAGTGGAATAACTATATATGAACTTTTATGGTTCTTTCTGGTTTCTTTACCTTAGCATAATGTTTCAGGGTATATCCATGTTGTGGCATGAATCAGTACTTCATTCCTTTTCGCAGCTGAATAAATTCCATTATGTGGCTAGACCACATTTTTTTCCATTCATTCACTGATACACATTTGGGTTATTTCCACTTTTTGGCTAGTATCAATACTGCTGTGAATGTTGTCTCATTTTAAAATATTGGCCGGTACTTCTACGAGGTACTCGGAGTAGTCTGTCTTACAGTGACAAAGTGGAAGGGTGATTGCCAGGGGCTAGAAGGAGGGAGGATGGGGAATAGTGTTTAATAAGGATGGGATTTTCTTTTGGGGTGATGGAAAAGTTCTGGAGATGGATGGTGGTGATGGCAGTACAACAATGTGAATGTACTTTATGCCACTGAACTATGCACTTAAAATGACTAAAATGGTAAATTTTATATGTATTTTACCACGGTTAAGAAAAGAAAAAATAAATGTTGGCAGATAACTAGTGTATTTCAGGGACTAAATTTCAGAAGACCAGGCACACATGGTGGTCAGCCTGATTGGGGCTCGTGCTGGGAACACCTCAGCAAGTAGGATGATGCGCTGGGAGTCATCCCCTCTGTATGGTGCTCTGTGTGGTGTGACTCACACGTGCTATCTTCCTGCAGTGGTGCAGTCAAGGTAGGAGCACCCTGGGCCAGGCAGGGCACTGTGATTTCAGCATCCAGGGTGGGCAAAGGGCCTTTCTCTCCAGCCACATTTAGTTATGACAAGGGGAACAGGTGGACACAAATGTCTATTACAGGTCAAACGGTTTAAAATACTAAGGTTGTTGTTTTTTAATAGACTTTATGTTTTAGAAGTTTTTAGATTCTCAGAAAAATTGAGGAAGATAGAGATTTCCCATATACCACCCTGCCCCCACATGTGCACAGCCTCCACCGTTATCAACACCCCCCACCAGAGGTACATTTGTTAACAGTTGATGAGCCTACATTGAATGACACATCATTACCCAAAGTCCATAGTTTATGATAGAGTTCACTCTTGGTGTACCTTTTATGGGTTTGAACAAATGTATGACATGAATCCACCACTGCAGTAGCACAGAGTGGTTTCACTGCTAGGGTTTTGTGTGCAGTGTGGATACTTCATCATACATGGGGCATCCTGAATTGTGCATGGATCTGTCCACTTCACTGGATTTGGGACATGGGCTGTTTATACCTTGGTAATCTGCTTTGGCCACATTTGGGATAGGTGCTAATAGGTGCCATTAAGAGGGACAAAAACAAGCTGAGGGTACTGGAGGCTAGCACGGTTTGACCATTGTGTCAGAAGGGAGGTGTGGGGAGGTGTGGGGTGTCAGACATTGCTTTACACGTGTGACCTCATGGTGCCCTCACAACAGCCTATTGAGACAATACCAGATAAGCAAACAGACTGGACGGACTGGCGATGCACCCAGGTCCTGTCACTTGTGGGTGAAGAGCACCCGGAGCCTGATGTCAACTCGCTAAAGTTGGCTCTGTACTGACCTTGCCACTCCAGGATCTCAATGCAATGAGTTACAGCTCCAGGCAAGTAAGTTTCCTACTCCGGAGCCTAGGGGACATGAGCATCACACAGGACTGGATGCACATGACCTCTCATGTTTTTTGCTCACCAGGGTGGCTTAGAAGCCTATGCCGTTGTCTTTTCCATCCTACCCTGCCTCAGAGGCTCACTGCCCTCCCCTCATACCTCAGAGGGTGTCCCCTTTCCCACTAAAATGAGCCCCTCCTCCAATAGTTGGTCCCTCCTGTTCTCTACATCAATCTAATTACTCATTGGATATTTATACCTGGCTCTCGCACTAACCTAAACTTCTCAAGGGAGAGAGCATAAGTTTCTTGGTTAACATTGTATTTAGGGTCCAGCACACTGGTAAACTGTCAAATGTTTTTTTAATTAATGAACAGATCGAATGAATTTTGTAGAACTATCGCCCCTTTCCATGACTATGGGTACTGAGGCCAGTGTGGGATAGTAAAAAGATCCATGATAGAGGTTACACAAATCCACAGAAGTGGAAAAGAAGCCTGCCATGGACCTGGGGCCATGGAACCTCAGACGAGTGGCCTTGGTTCCTTTTCTCTCGAATGGGAAATGGAAGGTTGAACCACCCCGAATACCTGGTAGATACTATAAGCTTTTGCTGCAAGCAGAGTCACCTTTCTCAGCAGTGTCCAATATGGTGATCTGAGGTCAACAGATCTCCCACATTTCTTTGTGCATTTTTTCCTAGCTTGTTTGATTACCTGTATGTTGAGGCTGCACCCAGGAGCATGCCCTACCCAGGGGGAGGGTGAAGAGAAGGAAAGAGAAAGGGTCCCATTTACTTGCCCTCAAACTCAAGGAATACACCTTTGACCTCGCTAGCTTTCTGGAGATGAAGGGTGTATGTGTAGGGATGTCAAAAGGCATGCATCCTGGCTAGTATTGGCGAGTCCTCTGCCCTGGACTCTGCCCACACTCTGTGAGTGAATTTCAAATGTGGAACGGCTCAGAGCTGTTCCCTGGGCTGTGGTCACGGCGTTCCATTGCACTGCTGTTAGACCGAACTTAAAACTGCATCAAAAAAAAACCACTGCATTTCAGTCCTGTGTGTTCTGTTACTGAATGCCCTCACACCCCATCACTGCAAGGGGAGGGGACTGGGCCCCCCACTACTCGATGCCTCCTGTTGGAATTGGTGCCCCAGCAGCTGCCACCCCAGCCCAATTCCCAGAAACAAAGCCCATTTCTTTTGGAAGCCATCTGTGAGAACAATGGCCTTTATGTAAAAAAAATTTTCTTTTTTGTAACACAAGAAAGGACCACTGTGACTGCACCTCCTGTCCCCCCAGATGGGATTGAGAGGTGGGCAGGGTCACAGCCTGGCGAAGTCCCCTTTGTGCTGCTCCAGCCACTGATCCAGCGTCCTGGCCTTGGGGTTGAGCCTCAGAGTCAGTTCAATGTTGCGGTCTGGTTTCAGGGCATAGAAACGGAACATGTTGGCCAGGTCTCGGGCACCAGGGAAGCCGAGCCTCTCGTAGTCCTCAGGGGTTGTCTGGAAGCAGAGGGGAATCTGTGAGTGTCTGTCAGCATCTCAGCACCTGGCTGAGGTGGTGGGCGGTGGGGGGTACCTTAGTCCATACCAAGGTCCTTGCTAAGTTCATCTGAAAACCATTCTAAAAAGATGAAAGTTTGGAAACCACAGTTCTAGGTCAATTTAAATCCTGTTCTTTCAAGATCTTGAGATGAGAACTTTCCAGTTCCTTCCAAATCAGAACTCTGCTTACATCACTTGCTCAAAAACCAAACCTGTTCCCCTTTCCCAAGAGAACTGTATTTAACTTCTCAGCTCAGATCCTCCACCACCTGCCTTAGGCCTGCCTTTGTTTAGACAATGGCACAGGGCTACTGAGTGCACATTTCTAGTGCACGTCATTCATTGTACTAAGAAAGCTGTGTTAGTTATTCCAGTTAATCTTCCCAACAATCTGAGCAGGGGACACTATTCACACACCCATTTTAAAGATGAGGAAACTGAGGTAGAGAGGGGTCAGAGACTGTGCCCCAGGTCACATGCTGGTGGGCGTTAAGAGCTGGGACCAGGATCTCAGTCTGGGGGGCTGACCAACCTGGAACCCTCTCCCCATCATTGCTGTTTGGGGCTGGGGGATCTACAGGTGGCTTTTGTCTTTTAAAACCTCGGAGTTTCCCAGATTTTCTTTAATGCGAAGGTCTTACTTTCATAATGGGAATGACAAACAAGAAACAAAGCACCTGAGAAGACTGAAGGTCAGCATGGAGAGGAGGGGACCATGGGCCTCCTGTCCACCCAGCCAGGCCAGTGTGTGTGGTGTGGTGTGGTGTGGTGTGGGGGTGTGTGTGTGTGTAGGACTACCTCTCTGGCCTCCTCCCTCCTCTTTAAGTCACATCCCAGAGCGGCCCAGTGGCCTTGGCCTTGGCCTTGGCCCCTACTGTCCCCTCTTCCTGGAAACCTTCCTCCCCACTTGGTCAACTGTCTAAGCCAGAAATTTCACTCAGCAGCCACACTTGGCTCCCAAGAACAGCATGACACGAATATTCACAGTTGTGATGAAGTCATATTTACCTCGCCCTAGATCCCCTTTCCCACTACCCACAAAGTCCCGGGGGGGTTGGAATGACCTGCCCGAGGCGGAGGGACCCACCTTGGCATCGTGCACAGCTTTCCCAGTATGCTTGGAGAGCAGGGCAGCATACTCCTCCACTGTGTGCCTGCAGGTGCTGAGCCCGAGGTTCTGGCCGATGTATTCTTCTGGCATCTTCAGCAGGCTGAGCACCACAGGGCCCAGGTCAGAGACAGACATGCCGTCCATGGGTGCATCGCCCATAGGTAAACCTGGGGTCGGAGGGTAGAGGGACATGCTGGTACATGACATGGACAATGCGCCATTTGCTGAAGAGTAGAAATTAGTGTTCCCCAGTCAACTGACCAGGCTCTGCACAGATCAGCACCTGGCATGACTTAGTTACCTCCTGGTGTCTGTGTCAGAGCAGAAGCAGCAGTGGAACTGAGTCTGGAAACGGGATGCAAGCCAAGCTCTGCCCTCTTGGCATTCTGTTTAAACCCTCTGAGGCCGGGTTACTCCTGCTTAGAGGGTGGAGAAGAACCCTGGACCTGTCCACCCCTCCCAGGGCTGAGATGCGGATAAAGGACAAGAAAGGAAGAGGCTTCAAAAGGTCCCCAGAGAACAGGCTGAAGCCCTGGGGGCTCGCTTCTCCCAAGGCGCCAGCTCTGGTGTACTTCGTCACATCCTGAATTCCTGACATGGAAACTTGTGGGTGGGTATTCCAAATACTAACCCTACTGACAGGAATGCTTGACTAGCCAAGGCCAGGGCCCAGCCCAGAGCAGCGCGTGACAGGTGCTTGTTACTGTCTGTTGAATTAATGAGTGACTATCTGCCAAGTCGTGGTTTTGGAAATGAAAGGGGACAGATAGCAGTGTTTAGATGTAGCTCCCAGAGTGCTTGAGTCCTGCCATTTTCCTTACCTATAAAAAGGGGCCACTGCAGCTGCCCGTTCATCACCCAGGGACCTTGTAGGGATGGAGCTCCAACCCAGGCATGGAACACAAGAGGTGTCCCTAGCTTTGCAAACTATAAAGAGCGGTGCCCATATGCCAACACCAGGACCAGACTGCTCACAGGAGGGCAGGACTCAAGCAAGAGGGATCCTGCATTCACGTGCAGGGTAAGGGTACCTGGTCAAGGGCACTCACTCCTCCCACTCTGGCCTTCCAAGCATCCTGCTCTAATGCACTGGCTGACCAGCAGGACACGAGTATATGATTCCCTGCAAGCTACAGTCCACTGCATCCAGATTTGCAAACAGGCACTGAGAAATGCTTTCCACTTTGTGAAATCTGCAACTGGGCCTCATCTTCCAAATTCTCTCCTTATCTTTGAAGGAGAAGTAAAAATAATCACTTGTCTCTGTAAAGCTTTCCATTGACAGAGCATCACATCACCACATCTTGGTAGATTTTCTCATTACCCCTTCAAAAGTCAGTATTCTGCCCATTTCATAGAGCAGGAAGCAAAGGCCCAGCAAGATTACATGGCTTGCTCAATCACAGGCCTAATGTCAGAGAGCCAAGGCTCAGACCCAGAACCATCTGAGGACAAGCTGCTTTCTACAACACGCACAGCTCCACACAGAGCAGACACTCAAGGAAAGAGGAAGGGCACTCACTTAGCAAGTAGCTCTTTCCATCCGGGGCTTTCTGGGGCAGGAAGGAGAGGAGGTTCTCAAAATAGAAGGGCAGCCGCACACTGGTCATGGGAACACCGATGTCTCGGAAATACTCCTCCACCTCCCCTTTGCCATCAAAGTGGCCTGCTGCCAGTCTCCCTGCCGTCAGCTTCTTGATGTTCTCCAGACCGCTGTAGACCACATAGTGAAGGCCCAGGCGCTTGGCCACATCAGCCAGCCGCTTTCCCTGGTGGGCAAGAAAGGAGAAACCACAAAGCCAGGAGGATGTGTGTCCCAAATCACAGCCCCGGCTCTCCAACCCAAGTTGCCGCTGTGCCTGATGCTGAGAGACCAACACCACTTTGCCCTTGGATAAGGCCCCTCTTCCAGAATGATGCTTACACACAGAACCACACCCTTTAACACGGGATGATAAGCCTCTACTGCCCACTTCGCATCCCTTTTCTAGATCATCTGGGTGGTTCTACTTTCCGACATGCTTGACTGCAACACACCCGTGTGCAATCTGCTGCTAAAGCACAGCAGTTAAGCGTACAGGCCACTTGAGTTCCAGACCCGGCTCTGCACCACATTGTGTGATGCAGGACAAGTGAGCTAACTGTTCTGGCCTCGTCGGTTTAACGGGAACAGCAACACAACCTGCTGTATAAGGTCGTGTAGAGTCAGATGGTGGCCCCTAGAAAGATATGTCCACACCCTCACTCCAGAACCTGTGACTGTGACCTCATCTGGAAAAAGGTCTCTGCAGATATAATTAAGGAACTTGAAATGAGATCATCCTGGATTCCCCAGGTGGGCTATTAACCCAATGACAAGTGTCCTTATGAGACAGAAGAGAAGACATCAAGAAGGCTGGAGACTGATGCAGAGATTGGAGTGACGTAGCCACAAGGAGGACCGGCAGCCACCAGAAACTAGAAGAGGCAAGGAGCGGAATCTCCCTTACAGCCTTTGGAGGGAGCGTGGCCCTGCCAACACCTGGCCTCCAGAACTGGGAGAGAATAAATTCCTTTTGTTTTAGGCCACCCAGATTGTGGTCATTTGTTACAGCAGCCATGGGACATTAATCCAGGCTGTTCAGATAATCTGCTTCAACCAGAGAAGCTGCCTTTTCCACTCTATGGAATGGGCTTCCGTGTAAGGCACAACCGAAGAAAGGGTGAAGGCTAAAAAAAGTCTGGAGACTAGTGGTTCAGTCTAGTCTCCCTTTATTTTACAGAGGAAGAAGACAAATACCAGAGCAGAGAAGTTACATGTCTAAAGCCACAATTGTGGCTAGCTGTGGACGAGGCAGAGCTGAAAACTGAAGTACATACTTCTCAGCCCGGTGCCTTTCCTCTGGCACCATTATACATTCCACAAATACCTGAGTGCCTTCTATGTGCAAATGCCTGGATCTTCAATGAGACAAAAAGATAGCCACGTCTCGTGGTTCCTTTCATATCCCTCCACCTGGGTTCAATAGCCACCTAACTAGAAAGAATCTGGGTGGGAAACAGAATACAGGGAAACACAATACGTGAACGGGGACATGGGGACTTTCTAGAATGATGGCAACATGTTATATTTTGATCAGATGGCAGTTATATGGGTGTATTTATTTTTAGATTTCACCAAACTGTACAATTAAAATGTGTGCATTTTACTATAAGAAAATTATGGGTCAACAAAGTTAATTTTTTAGAAAGTGTAAAAAGTCTTTGGATGACAGAAAGTAGATTAGTGGTTGCCTGTGACTGGGGGAAGGGGGTGTGACTGCTAAAAGGTACTGGGTCTCTTTTTGGGAGGATGAAAATGTTCTGAAATTAAGTAGCGGTGATGGCTTCACAACTTGTGGATATGTTAAAAACCAATGAACTGTACACTTTAAAAGGGTGAACTGTATGAGACATGAATGATATGTTAAAAACAAAGTCATTAGTTGAAAAAGCAGCCTCTTTTTGCCCTCATCAAAATCTAAGAGGGCTGCATAGAAGAGGGGAAAGGCCTATGGTGGTCAGTGGTCCTTAGGCAGGGTAAGCCCCGCTCTGGCAAGTCCGAGCTGCCTCCCAGGAACCAACACGGACTTGGGAGCTCCTTTTAAGACATCCTGCAACAAGCCCCAGCCTCCCTATGCCCTTACCTGCTTGACCTCCTGTTCCTGGCTGCAGTTCTCCCAGTAGTTGGTCATGATGAAGGTGGCATGAGCCCCAGTCAGGGCCAGTTCTATGCTGGCCTCATCGTCCTGGTCTCCCTGCACTACTTCCACGCCTTGCAGCCTCAGCTCCCTCGCTGCCTTCTGCCTAGGGTCCCGGGTCACAGCCCGAACCCTGAATGTCCCATCTTCCAGGAGTGTCCGGGCCACTGAGCCCCCCTGGGCACCTGTGAAGAGTCACAAAGACCTGCAGGGTCAGACCCACCTGGGAGTCCTGCTAAGGGTGAAACCCTGAAGACAATGCTCTACCACAGCAAGACACCCAAGACACTTTTCACCTGTCATGCTCATTAAACCGCCTTAAACCATTTTTAAATAACAGCTTTATTGAGACAATTCACTTACCATGATATTCAGTCTTTTAAAGCAGGAGTCCCCAACCCCCAGGCCACAGACTGGTACCAGTCCATGGCCTGTTAGGAACCGGGCCACACAGCAGAAGATAAAAGGTGGGTGAGTGAGCGAAGCTTCATCTGCATTTGCAGCCGCTTCCCAGCACTTTTAGTGTACTCAGAGTTGTGCAACCATCATTATAGTCAATTTTAGGACATTTTTATGTCCAAGAAGAAAATCTGTACCCATCAGCAGTCACTCCTCATTCTCCCCACCCCTCCACTGCTCCCTGGAAACCATTAATCTGCTATCTGTCTCTATGGATGTTCCTGTTTGGGATGTTTCATGTCAATGGAATCCTTCAATATGTGGCTTTTTGTTTGTGGTTTCTTTCACTCAGCATTTTTTCGAGGTTTTGTCCATGTTTCAGCAGGCATCACACTTAACACCTTTTATAAAATGTTTTAAATACATTATGAAATATTTAGCAGATACTAAAGGGACATCAACACTCATGTATCCATCCTTTAGCTTAAGAAATATTACCTATACCTTTTCCAAAAGATTGAGAAATTATAAAAATTTATCAAAAGGAAGAAAATGAAAATCATCTATAAATGTTCTTATATACATAAGAACATTTGGCTGCAGCACTGTTTGCAATGGTGGAAATTTAAAGACAACCTAAATGTCCTTTGGTAGAAATCTGGTTAAATAAGTGATTAAGTCATACAAATTAAAAAGAATGTGGTAGATCTGTATGTATGACCTGGATAGGTGACCATGATGTGTCCTGACGTGAAAAAGGCAAATCGTAGAACTGCAACTACCATCATAAAGTTCTGATGGGAATGTAAAATGGTATGGTGTAGTTGCTGTGAAAAATAGTTTGGCAGTTCCTCAAAAAGCTAAACACGAAGATATCATCTGACCCAGTGATTCTGCTCCTGGGTATATACGCAAGAAAACCGAAAACATAAGTGCACACAAAATATGTACGTGAATGTTCATAGCAGTATTGACAATAGCCAAAAGGTGAAAATAAATCAAATGTCCAGAATGGGTGAATCTATAGACCAAAAGACTGGTGACTGCTAGGGGCTGGGGAAAATGGAGAATGACCACTAGTAGGTGTCGATATAAGAAATGTCCAAGCTTGTAGAGAATGTTTGAGTTTATTTGACCCAAACTGATGACCTGTGCCATGATGTAAAATCTCAACAGACGGAGAAAATGCTCCAGAGCAGTGGTCCCCAACTTCTTTGGCACCAGGGACTGGTGCTCCTATGATACTCAAATGCCTGATGATCTGAGGGAGAGCTGATGCAGTGATGCTAGCACTGGGGAGCAGCTGCAAATACAAAAGAGGTTTTGCTTGCTTGCCCGCTGCTCGCCTCCTGTTGTGCTGCCCAGTTCCTAACAGCCACAAACCAGTACTGGCCCTCAGCCCAGGGGTTAGGGATCCCTGCTTCAGGGGCCGGGCCAGTTAGGGGGTGTTAGGAACCGGGCAGCACAGCAGGTCTGCAGCTTGTTTTATACATTAGAATTAAAGGAAGAGATGTAAGAAGAGTTACATTAAATCCATTGGTGTTAGATTAAGGCGTCAGGAGAAAGCAAAGTGGAGAAATCTCTGGGATTGTATAGAAAGAAAAACAGATAAACACATACTTCTTTTACATTGGTGGGTACAGGATAGTTAAATTTACAGAACAGAGATGATATGTGGGCAACAAGGTAACAATAAGGTGTTCTGTGGTCTCGTGCTCTGGTCCCAGCAGTTGTGCCTTGAGGGATCTGGAAAAGATTACTTTGACATTTCAAACTTACCTTATCTTAGATGCAAAAAGACAATGGACAGGCTCACTTAAGGTCAATTGTCAAGGAAGCTACAGTCCTAGGACCATGACCTAACTTTTAGGAATTTGTATGTTCAGACCATCCTGTGTGGTTACTTTTGGCCTTTCCATTTGTAAGGTCCACCATGCAGCCCTCCCTTGAGCTTGCCAGGTTTAGTATGTGGTCCTTTTTTCATCCACATAGGCACATGGCTTCTTTTCGGGATAATGAAATGTTTTAAAACTGATTGCGGTGATGGTCACAGAACTCTGCAAATGTATTAGAAACCAGTGAATTGCATACTTTAAATGGGTAAATGGTATGGTATGTGAATTACACTTCAATAAAGCTGTTAAATATTTTTAAATATGTATAGAAAAGAAAAAAATAGGGGGGACAAAATAAAACGCTACCTGTTACTACTGTTTAAAAATATTTATTTATATATCTAAACTAGTAGGATACTCAAGAAACTGTAACAGTGATGGATGGGTGGAGGGAACAGAGGTGGGAAGATTTAATTTTAGTATGATGTCCAATCATTACCTATTTATTCAAAGAAGTTAAAGTAATTTTTAAAAATTCAAAGGACATCTACGCTCAGGTCCTATCTCCCCACGGCCGCACTCGAGGTCAATCACCACCCCACTTCGTCCAGATCCCCCACCCCCAACGTCTCCCGGCGCAGGTTGGCCTCGATGATGGGTCCTGCCCTTCCCGCCTCCGATTGGAGTTCTGCTTACCTGTGGCCCCAAACACCACCACCAGTTTCTTGTCCACCATACAAGCCGGAGCGGGAAATTCGGTCCAGAGAAGCCTGGTGGCCGAGGGAAGCGCAGTGTGGGCGACGGGGCTAGGGGTCCCAGCCCAGAATGATCCCGCGCCTGCACCGCGTAAGCTTGAGGGGGTGGCCAGCTGGGAGAGGTCTGGGCTCCGCGACTCCCGGGCCCACCCTTGGGCCCAATACCCTTTAACCCTTCCGGCCCCTGGACCCTCACTCCCAGCCGCCTCCCGGGTCACAGCGGCGAGCTTTACCTTCTTATCGCTGCCTGGGTGGGAAACGCTCGAGATAACTGGGGACCCGGATTTTTGCAGCCTAGCCCACCGCAGGGGGGAGTGGAACCCTGCAAGGGGTACTGACCTCGGCCCGTAGCTTCAGCCGTACCCTGGCAAAGCCATTTCTTCTCGGCTGCCCTGCGTGAAGGGATTCCACGCTACGCTGCTTCTTAATCCCCGCTGTTCCCGCCCTTACTCCGTGAGGAGTTGACCCGCCAGCCCCGCCCGCGGGCACAGATGGTTCGTCCCGGCTCTCGCGGGACTCCGCGAACTTTCAGGACTCTTGAGCCCCAGGAGTGCGTAAACCAAATGTGCAGCAATCGGATTTAGTCGAAATGCACGAACAAAGAGGCTGCTTAGCTGCGTGCGGGTGATGAATGCACGAAGGAAACAAACGAACAACCTTTTTATCTTTCGTGAACATCTGGACTTGCAGATATGGGGTGTCACCTAAAGATAATGAAATCTATATCCCTGAGTCTTAACCCCCTCAGGCCCTGTCTCTTATGTCTGACTAGCTGTTGAGTTTAGTACTATTTGCACAGATTTGAATTCTTTTTAACAGAGAAGTGAGATTTTTCTGTGTTCAACTAAAACACAAAATGACCTCATTTTTTTTTAAAACACTGCTGCATGAATAAGAACATTGGTTTTTTTTATTCATTCCTAGATATGTATTGACCCATCTGGGAATGTCAGCTTCTGGACCTCAGGCACTTGTCTGTTCACTGCTGAATTTCCATCACCTAAATAGTACCCGGCACAAAGTAGGCTGATTGACTGGTTGACTAAATATCTGCTGGACACTGGAGTTACAGGGAAATCAAACGAAAACTAATGCTGTTTTCCCGAATCTAGTGGTGGAGAGACTCCACAAGGTAATATGTATTTTATTTATATAAAATGTTGGTCTTTATAATAAGACATGCTCATTTTAATAAATACACATTTATGTTTACTTCATTTATAAGTGAAGATATCATGTCTATGTGTTTAACTTGGCATACATATTGTAGTCTCCTCCATACCCTGTTACATTATTACTCTGTGCTCAGACTGTAAAGTTTGCTTGAAATACCTTCCTCCCACCTCCTTAGATGGGGCTAATTCCTACTCATTCCTTAAGATTCCACATAAACATCATGTCCTCCAGGCAGCCCTAGGCTAACTACTCCTGACCCCTAGGCTAACTACTAGCCTGACCCCTAGGCTAGGCTAACTACTCCTATTCCACTCCCCTCTATCCCACTGACAAAATTGTTTCTACCATATTAGACTGAGGGCTTCCTGAGAACTGGCTCCATGTCCTGTTTGCCTCTATATCTCCCCCTCCTGACAAAATGTCAGCACTTAGTAGGAACTCAATAAATACCTAGTAAGTGGAACCCAAGTGCATATTATTCTGATAAAAATTGAGTTTTTTCTTAATTGCATGGGGTTCGATCACAAAACCCAATGTTCTGAGGTCTCCACTTTAAGGAAATAAATCCAAACAAGAAGGTTTCGAGGAGAACCAGCTGCATAATTTCCAAGGCCTAGTGCAAAATGAAAATGTGAGGCGCCTTGTTTCAAAATTGTCAAGAATTTCAAGACAGTGACAGCTGAATATTAAACCAAGTGTGGGATCCTTCTGAGTGTGGACCCCATGCAAATGCTCAAGTCACAAGCCCATGAAGCTGGCCCTAGTGTCCAGGTTTAATTGAGAGTAGCATCCCAGGACCACAATGGGACACTAGCAAACTCCAGTGCTTTTTGCCCTTGCTGAACCTGCAGCTTGAGAAATCAGTACCGATAATGAGTGGCAGGGAATGACATCTTACTCCTGGGCTTCTGGTCAGTTGGTGCTAGTGCCAGGGGACTATTGGAAGTGGGTGGGCAGATTGGCAGCCTGGGCAAAGGTCTTGTCTCTTGAAACCCCACTCACCCTGTTGTACCCTGAGGCCTGAGAGGAGAGATTTATCTACTGACTGGTGCATGCTTAGCAGTGAATCAGCACTTTCTGTGGGACTTTATATCTGACAAAGGACTTCCTACAGAGCTCTTGCCAATTAATCCAAACTAGTGATATGTACTAATGATAATAACATTGGGAACCCTTTTCTGGGCTTCTCCTATGTGTCAGGCATAGGCTAAGCTTTACATTATCTCTTGTGAACCTTCAAAGCAACCGCTCCTCCAATCAGTGCCACTCAGTTTAATTCAATTGTGTGTGTGTGTGTGTGTGTGTGTTTGGAGCAGGGGACAGTACAGTGTGTACTCCCCATTACCCCATCTTAAAATTCATTTTTTATTTGATTTTGAGAGCCAAGTAATGCATAATGCATATATGCATTCTCATAAAAATTTGTTTATTTAATTTATTTATTTTTTTATGGTGACATTGGTTAACAAAATCCAGTAAGTTTCAACTGTACACTTTAACAGTAAGGCATATATATATATTTACACTGTATGTTCACCTCTCATAGATTTCTTTCTGTCACCACATATTTGACCCCCTTTACCCTGTCTACCTCTCCCCTCCCCCCACTCCCTACCCTCTGGTAACCACTAGTTTATATTCCATGTCTACAATCATAAAAAATTTAAATGGTCCTGAAAACAAAAGTTCCACAGGACTCTTCTGAGGGATAAAAGAGAGTTTTATTCTGATATGATTTGAAAATCAGAGAATGTAGCCTTCAGCCTGAATTGAAAACATGGTGTAGGTGGGAAGAATAAGGCTAGAGAGAGTTTCAGGAGTTACTGATCAAAGGCATGGGTTGCTAGGAAAACAAGACCGTAAACTTACATCATTCATTTTCTGATTGGTGGGGCAACTGGATTTTCAGGGGTCTGCTGACTCAGCAAGTGGGGGTGTGAGATAAGAACAATGCGTAGTTTTCAATTGACTCATGGCCAGCAGGTATAGTCATGGGATATAGCCAACAGTTGGGGTCATAAGACATGGTCAGCAGGGGATGGGGGTCACAAAGCAGAGGCCAGTGACTCAGTTTTCCTTGGAGTCTGCAAAATAAACCAGTAAAACAAGTTTTGTAGTGAAACAGACAATGTAAAGAATGTAATTCATCAAGTAGACAGAGTTTAAACTGCAAAATGGCCTAGTCACTGGAGCAGGGTTAAAAAACCAAATTGCAGAAGAGTCCAGATATTTGGTCACATAATTATGATATTATAATGCTTAATATAGATAAAACACAAATGACCCTGGACCTTCTAACATTCTAGTGGGTAAATGATCCCTGCTTTTGGATGCATTTACATACCTAAACATGAGCATGTAGAAGGATGATATTTTGCAGTTAGAAAAAATAAGAGAAATCATACCAAATATATTTTCCCCTAAATTTTATTATGAAAATTTGTAAACATACAGAAAAGTTGAAAGAACCGTATAGTGAACACCCATATACTTACCACCTAGATTCTTCAATACTTAATATTTTGCTATATGCTTTATGAGATATCTATCCATTAACTATCTTATTTCAAATAAGTTGCAGATATCAGTACCCTTCACCCCTGGACACTTCAGCATGCACATTAAGGTTCAATATTTGTTTTTTTTGTGTGTGTTAAGTTTACAAACTACAGAATATATTTTTGTATTTTTTTACAACTTGCTTTTTCTCCTTCTACTTAAGGTCCTCCCTCATGTGGTGTCTGATCTTCCTTTTGTTTGTTTGTTTTGTTCTAATAGCATTTTTAAAATAATTTTTTTATTTTTCAAATACAGTTGGCATACAGTATTATATTAGTTTCAGGTGTACAACATAGTGATTAGACATTTATAGAACTTACAAAGTGGTCACCCCAATAAATTTATTACCCATCTGACACCATACATAGTTATTTCAATATTATTGACTATATTTCTTATGCTATACTTTACATCCCCATGAGTATTTTGTAACTACCAATTTGTACTTCTTAATCCCTTCCCCTTTCACACCTCCTTCCTTTTTGATGGGACACAACTCTATTGAATGGATGTGCCCCCTGTCAGTCCCTACTTCTTCCTCTTTTGATGGACATTTACATTGTTTCAAGTTTTTCACCCCAATGGAGTATCCTGGTATATGTTGCAATGACATTCCTTGTTTGTGCCTCTTTGGGTTCTTACAAGTGTTTTTTCTAGAATAGCTACCCAGAAGCGGAATTGTTAGATCAAAGAGAATGCCCATTCTGAATTTTACCAGATCTTGCCAAATTGCTCTCCTTTCTCTATATGAACAAAAAAGGGACTACTTAGGCAAGCCTGACAAACTCAGTTACTGAAAGTAACCACACGGGATGTTTTGATCATGAAAAATTCCTGAGAGAGTTATGGTGAGAAGACACATCCTAAGACCTATATGATAGATTAATCTCTACCCTGTCCATTGTTTTTGTGCATCTAGAATAATAGACTTAAAATGTCAGAATGATCTCTTCTCCAGACTTCCCAAGATAAACATCCCAGTATGGGGGGAGACAACCTCAACATTCCTCATTATTATCTATACCTCTGTAAACTATGTATGCTAAATGTTAACTATCCTGCACCCACGAATGTAAAAGGAACATGCATCCCTCTTTTTTAAATCCAATCTTAGAGATTTTCCCGCTTTATTTTCTCTCTCCTTAATCTGCCACCAGTGGATTTCACGTAACCTTTCTTACGTGCTCTCCTTTGATTCTAATGTGTAAAATTAACTACACAAAACTGCTATTCTTTTGAACATTATCTCAACCCTTCGAGATTTTGCTTCAGGGACTTGCTCTCAAACGTTGGCTCTAATAAACTCTTTAAATGTTTCTTTAGGTTTGGAATTTATTTCATGGACATTTGATAACTCCCACAAACACCGTAAATTTCCCACACCTTTGCCAAAACATTTCCAGTCAGTCATTTAATCTGCAGCCAGTCGGATGGTTAAGGAAATGACGGGAAGCCAGTGTGGCTAGAACAAAAAGGGCAGGTGGAGTCTGAAGAGGTGGTGACATTGGGCAAGAAAAGCGCGTAGTCCAGAGGCGTCCTCATAATCACCTGCTCTTACTAACACTAACCTTTATTTGGAAGCATCCCAACTTCTTCCGCGGACCTGGGCACCAGGGAGAGGAGCCACGTGCCCGCCGCAGAGGCGTGTCACCTGCACGCCACGCCCCTTACGCGTGCGCACGTTGGGCCGCCCTCGCGCCCTCCCGCGGCAGCGGCGGCGGCGGCGGCGGCGGCGGCTCTTGAGGGAGTCAGCGACGGGCGCGCGGAGGCGAGCTACAGATCGACGGCAAAGCGGACCCGCGACTGGTGAGTGGTCGGCCCCCTCCCGATACTTTCCTAGGCTCCTCAGCAGGCCTTGACCAGCCCGGGCCTTCAGTATCTGGGTTCGGCCCGCGGCGGCCCGCGGCGCCTCCGGCGCCGGTCTGAGGCAGACCCGGCGGGCTCCAAGCGGGGGAGGTAGCGAAAGCGGGTGAGCAGAGTGGGAGCTGGTTATGGGGGTAACCCCGTTTCGTCAACGACGTTTCCAAGGGCCAGGGAGGCCTAAGCGGCCCGTTCGCGTTGGTCCCCGTTGGGCCCTTCCTCGCGAGGGCCCTGGGTGAGGTGACTCCGGAGTCTTAGCTGGTGGACTTGGCCTTCCTGGCGGGAGTTGCAGCCTTTGACGGCCTAGCAGGCACGTCCGTCCACCTTCGTCCCGCAGGGACCCGGACCTGCCTCAGCGTCGGCGATGGGTGCTCTGCGTGGCAGCTTGTGCTGGGCCGTGGCTCTGCCCTTCCTTTCCTGACTCACCTTAGTGGAAGGGCACTTTGAGTCACTATCATGACTTCATGAGTGACCCGCGGCCGCCGTGGTGCAGAGGGCCAGACTGGGAGGGATCAACTCCAGGGACAGCCGGTTAGTCTGGGCAGGGAATTTACCTGTCATCTCGTAAGCACAGTGCTCTAGGTGTATTAATTGCCCCTTAAGAGCTCCCAAGACTGCCTTGCAGAGCTTTGCACTCGGCCTGTCTCTCATGCCATTTAAATTGATTCTAATGAACTGGTTGTTGTGGCCTGTGGCTGTCATCCTTATTGTGTTATGTTTATGGTTCTGTGAACCAGACAAGATGAAGTATGATTAAAAAATATATATCATATAGGGCTCTACAGTTCAGGAAACCCTGTCACTCTCAGCCCCTTCCAAAATCCTGCTAGTTGATAGTTTTCCCACTTGTAAGTGGGGTTAATGATAAGATGGGGATTAAGTGAATTAACCTGCATCCCACAACCAAGAAGATGGCACAAATGATCTTGAACCTGGTTATCTGCCTCTAGATCCAATGCTCCTTCCTAAACAGAGTTAGAGAACGGAAATGGATTATGTTATTTAAACTATCTTCTCCCTCCCCCTAAACTGTCCTCAAGTAGAAAGAAATAGGAGCTTACTGGTTAGGTGTATTTGAATTTCTGGTATGGCGTTAACCAGTGTGTTTTGATTAAAATTTTAACTCTCATATTAAAAATTTTAGTTTTTCTTTGAGGAGGGGCATAAGGAATACACATTAATAAATCTGTGCTTTATTTATTAGTTTTTTCCCAAGAAACATCACAAAACAAAACATCACAGGCTTACCAAGAGCTCACAGTTCAGTGGATATTTACAAGTTTATTTGGTAAAATTGGAGAAAGTTTTCAAATACAGTGCCTACGCCAGAACACTAGTGAGGATGTGGGAATTCAAGGGGCCTTAGAAACACACTCATTGAGTGACTTAATCTATGTAGGGATGTGAAGAGGAAAATCTGTGATTTCCCCATTATCTGACTAGATTTGCTTTTTTCCTTTGCTTGGTCTAGTAAGGTGAGATGCTGAGAGTCACTGGAGTTAGGAGTATGAGGTACTTTAGAAATGCCAATGCCAATGAGAAGATGAGTTACAGAAAGTAAAGATTCATTGCCTTTGGGTCACCCCTCATCAAGACTGTTGAAAAGCAAAACTGGACAGCTGGGGCCTTTGGGCTACCTTATTTTTTTGGTTTTCCTTTGAAAGCTTTTCATAGTATAGTTGTGCTCTGATCAGGATTACACCCAAAACTGGAATATCACTCCTCCAGAAGGAAGACATTTTTGAAAATTAGACTTATCTATTTCAGTGTAAAACTGTGGAATTCAGCTTGGAACTACTTAGAGAGAAAAGAGATAAAAAACTGGAACTATAAATTACTTCCTTGTATATTATTGGCCAAAGTCAACTAAAAAGTTAAGGACATTGAATGTATTCTTTTTTTCTGATAATAGTTAATGGGAGATTAAAGAAGTCTGGGTTAATTCTTGTGTGTTCCACACAGTGAAGGTCATTTGCTTTTAATTTATTATATCTGTTAAGTTTATATGTGCAAAAACATAGGATAAAAGCTTTGTCTTGTAATCTGAATAATTTCTCGGGATACTTCTGCGCTTCTGAGAAACAGTGCCATTACTGATTAATTCTTGCCACCATCCACACACACACATAGGGCGGGGGAGGCAGAGATCTTTAATTAGAACAGTTAATATAACTGCTTATACCAAGGTCTTCGTTGTCTTCTTCTTCTTCTTCTTTTTTTTTTAATGGCGGGAGAACTACAAAGACCAAGAACCTTTATTTCCACTTTTTTTCAGAAAAAAGAGGAAGAAATGGTCCATCATGCCTTACATATGTAAACGAGACACTTTGGGTTGCAAAGTATGTGGTGAAGTGAGGGTGGGGACGCTGCCAGGAACTTGAATTGTCTCCAAAGGAGGCTTAAGTTGTCACTTCCAAGGGTGCCTGGTGGGCCCCCACTGCTCCAGCCCGTTGACATCTACATGCCATTTGTCACTTTTGTTCTCCAGGAAGAGGAGGATGGATGCTACTGTAGACATTGTGATGGGCATCATGACCCTGTGTTGTCTTGGCCAGACATTTTTAACAATGGTTTAAGTGCTGGGAGCGACAGGGGCAATTGATACACCTAGAGCACTGTGCTTACAAGATGACAGGTAAACTCCCTGCCCAGACTAACCGGCTGCCCCTGGAGTAACCCATGGACCCTTCATACGCACACTCCAGCAGTACCCTGGCAGTCCCTTGTAAACACAGTATTTCCAGGTACCTGTAAAGTTGGGTCACGGAGCTTGGCTTGTATCAACATGTGGTGTTTATGTCCACTGTTGCTTCTTGTTCTTTCCTCACAACCTCTCCTTCATCTTGAGATATAATCTCTTTCTGGGTATTTGGAAGGAACCATCCATAAGTATAAACAGATTTTCACTTTACTGTAAAAGGATATACTTCAGAAACAGCCTAATGGAAGAGATGCGAGATGTATATGGCATGTTATGGGGGTGGGTGTGGAACTTCCATGCCCTCTCCAGGCGCACCACTCTCCTCAAATCTCCACGTGTTCACCAATCAGAAAGGAAGTGCTTCCATTTTTTTCATACTGGAAAAGTAATTCGCTGTGATGACCACTCAGGTACTCTGTAATATTGTTCACTGTATGGTTTACCTTTCCATATTGACTCCATTTATTTACCATAAGATGTTGTCTCCCATTGTATTACTAATGGAAGCCAACTAATGAAGACAGTTGAGTCTATCAGAAATTTTCTTTTTAAATTTCTAATAAATGTGACACAGTACTGAAATACAGTAGTCTCATAACTGATGGTCTGGTCTAGCCATGTTATATATATTAAAGAATATGCAGTTACATTGGTTTATATATTTTGCAAGAAATCCTTTCTGAATGACCAGTGTCTTTCCATTTAAGAATAACAATGATTATTGGAATTTACTATAGATAATTTAAAGGTATATAGCTATTGTCAAGGGAATCCATTCACAAACAGCCCATCAGAGGATTGCACCTAATTGCAATTTTGGCCAACTAAAATGGAGCCAAGAACACTTCCTGGGTTGTCATATCAACCACATCTATATTCATACCTTACAAGACAATATTCTGAATCTTTAGGTATTTTAAAGCAGCAGTTAAATTCATGAAGCTTTTTATCAACAAACAGGTTTTACTATTACTTTGATGTAATTTTAGCAAACATGCATTTCTCCATGTGATATATTTATTTTAAGCAGATATTTAAATAGTAATCCAAGGGCTGTCTAATCTGTTTATAGAGTAGGAATTGCATCAGAGTGCATGTATTCTTGCTGTTCAATGATATGAAGTTGAGGAGGGTTCTTTTTTCAAATGTAAGCTTGAGTATCTGTAAAATTTACAGATATACTGACGTTTTGTTTGTACTTCAAAATGATTGAATTGTTAAGTACAAAATTAAGCTAATTAATCTATTTGTAACCATTTTTTCACTCACAGCCAGCTATTCAACACTAGATAATTTTGTTTCACATGTTTGGGTATGTATCCAAATACATACATATTTATTTATATTAGAAAGAGTGAAAAATAAATGGTTTATTTCTCCAAAAAAAGGAACTTGTGGTGGTTTATTTATGACCATGAGAAACACATTTAAACTTTCAGCTGCAGTTTCTGTATCTGAAAAATGAGGTTAATACTTGATGAGCCTTAAAATCTTTGGTGTCTTGAATGCTGCTTATTGATCTAAGATGGGTTTCCAAACCTTTCTGTTTTGTCAAATTTGGGATTGGGCCTAGTTCTCTGTGTTTTTACAGTTTCAAATGTGAATCTTGTTTGAGGCCACCTTCTCTAAAGTACAGGCTGGACAAAAGAGGGAGTGGACTGGCAAGAGGGTAGAGAAGTTATTGAGTAGGATACATGAGGAAAAGGGACAGCAGAAGAGGAAAGAAAGGGGTGATTGTTGCATGGCAATAACTGCCATCAGCTTGTATGCCAGAGACCAAGCAAGGAGCTATTTTCTTCTCTCTGCTTAGGGGAAAAAAAATAATTTTTGTCACACAAATAGATTTGTTTTCTTCCCAGGAGTATCATAGGCCTAATTATTGTTATAGTTCTCAATGACTTTAAAAGGGCTTTGGAGAAGAATGGCATAACAGAGACAGGTGTCTTGCACTCTGCCTGCCTGTCTTTTTCTAAATACTCCCAGCTTCCTGCCTTTCTCAAAATGAGCTCTCTCAGTCTAGGAAAACTCAAGTTTCACTGTCTTGTATTGTATTCAATCTCACAATTAGTTGAGGGCTGTGGGAAAGCACTAGCATGGTTAAACAATCTGCCATCATGCTTTTAGCTAACCTAGTTGGCTGGCCTGCTTCATCAGTTATGGTCACGATCATATTTTTTATGCCAAACACTGAGACCCATAGTTTGAGCATCCAGGTGTACTGAAGGAGTTGATTGCTGTGACAGGA